TTGGACCGTTTGGGGAGGATGCTGTTAATGATAACGGTGATCGGCTCATCTCAATTTGTTCTCAAACTGAGATGAAAATTTTGAATGGCTTTTTTCAACACAAAGACATCCATAAGTATACCTGGGTCCAGCCAACGCGAGGATTGAAATCCATCATCGATTATGTAATTGTAAAGCACACTACTAAGTTGAAATTGCAGCAAGTTAGAGTGTGCAGGGGACTCTCTTGCGGCAGTGATCATCATTTCCTCCGAGCAGATATAGCGTTTCCCGTTAAAGGGATTAAAGATAAAGAGCCAATGCCTGAGCAAAAGCAGAGTCAGGGAACGCAAAATCATGAAGTATGGTATAACATCGAAAGTTTGGAGCACCCTAGTGTCAAGGCTCTGTATCGGAAACGCTTAGATGAGAAGCTGGGGGATGGACTCTCGGGTACCACGGAAGAGCAATATCAGTTCATCAAAGATTGTATCCACTCTGCAGCGAAAGAAGCCCTAGGTGTTCACAAAACCAGTAATAAATACCAGCATCCTTACTGGTGGGATGAAGAAATTGAAGACGAGATAAATCTTAAGAGGCAAAAACACCTTATATTTCTGTCGTCTAAAAAGACTGAAGATAAAGTTGCTTACAGGAAAGCTCAGTCTAAAGTTAGGAGCCTCATAACACGGAAGAAGAATGAAGCTTGGGAAAGCAACTGTTCTAGAATTAACACCTACCTAGGGGGGAGAAAAAGTGCTGAGAGCTGGAAGTTAATTAAAGGTTTACGTAGAGACATGAAGCGCGACATCGTTTCTCCGATATCACTTAAAAAACTGGAGGATCATTTTAAAGATCTTTTGACGGAAAGGCGCCCAGAGTTTCGCGACAACAGCACGGACAACGGAAGAATGAACAACTTGGAGATCCACACTTGTGACATAATTAAAGCGGTTAAAGAGCTAATTAATGACAAAGCACCGGGTCCTGGTGGGATTCCTGTCGAGTTGGTCAAGTACGGGACTGCCAAGCTCTTTGAGTGCCTCAGAAAACTGATGCAACAATGCATCAGGGGTGACGAGGTACCAAGGGAGTGGAAGGAGTCTTGGATCAAGGCCATCTACAAAAAGAAGGGAAGGAAGGACGACTGTAACAACTACCGGGGGCTCTCAGTGACCGGGACAATAAGCAAAGTGTACGGGAAGATACTGAAAGCGAAGATCGAGGACGAATGGCAGGATCACGAAGCAGAGGAGCAGGCTGGTTTTAGAGCTGGCAGGTCTACGATAGATCACCTCTTTGTTATTGTCCAGGTCATTGAGAAGAAAATGGCCGTAGCTCAGGAACTGCATTTAATTTTTGTGGATCTCCAGAAGGCGTATGACAGCGTGCCGTTGGTGAAACTTTGGGAGGCCTTGGAAAAATCGAATTTTAACGGGGGGTTGATTGACGCTGTCAAGCGATTTTATAAAGGGAGTTTTACCAAAGTTAAGTGCCATGGGGGGTTGTCAGCGGGATTTTATGTGACTAAGGGTTTAAAACAGGGATGTTGTTTGTCGCCAACATTATTTAAAATTTATCTCGAGTGCGTGCTAAAAGAATGGAAAAAGAAATGCTCTGGTATGGGTGTCCCCTTGGGTGATCTCGAAACTCTGTTTACTCTGTGCTTTGCTGATGACCAGGTGGTGGTTGCTCAAGATCAAGATGACGCGGAATACATGATGCGCAAGCTAGTAGAAGAGTATCGGAAGTGGGGTCTGGAAGTCAGCATATCCAAATCTGAGAAGATGACTTTTGGCGGTGATCAGCAAAGCATTGAGTTGGAGGATGGGCAGCAGATCAAAGGCTGCGAGCACTTTAAGTACTTGGGAGTGCGGTTGACCCAGGATGGAAGGACGGATCAAGCTATCAGGGAAAGGAACACCTTAGCAAGGAAGGCTATAGCGATGTTAAATGGAATCCTCTGGGATCAGCGGATTTCCAAAGATAACAAGAGGAGGATATACAACGCTGTAGTCAAAAGTATATTAACATACGGATGTGAAGTTTGGCAGCTGAAGAAACGGACACAGGATATGCTAAGAGCAACGGAGATGGATTTCTGGAGAAGGTCAGCAGGAATTTCTAGGAGAGATCGGGTCCGTAATGATAGAGTGCGTCAGATAATGGAAGTCGAAAATGACATCGTGTTCGACGTCATGACCAAACAACTTGTTTGGTATGGTCATGTCAATAGGATGACGGAAGAGAGGCTGCCAAAAAAGATGCTTGATTGGGTTCCTCCTGGGAGGAGACGTAGGGGACGCCCAGTGAGAGGTTGGCGACAGGGGGTGTTAAATGAGATAAGAGATTGTCAACTCCCTGATGACCTGTGGGAAGACCGAGCTTTGTGGCGATTAGGCGTCGCACAGCGCCAAAGAGCGCTATAAAAGCGACTCATATATATATATGAAAAAAATCGGATTCAGAAAAAAAATTATCAACGAAAAAAGGCGACAAAATCTCTTTTACGTGAGAGTATAGTAATTGCTAATTTTGTCGTTTTTCGGTGATAGGAGAGACTGCACCTTTAATTAGTCAAGTTAAGAGAGAAACCCAACACACGATTTGGCCTGTGCAGAGAGGCATGATGACCACGAGGACTTGAGATGTAAAGGAGAAGCCCTCGGTGCGGCGGTCGGCATGTAACACATGTTCGCGCCTACAAGACTGCATGAATACTTCAAGCATTGCGTCTAACACAATGCGGTCAGCACGAAACGCATAGCACCTATACAAGACTGCACGAATACTTCACGCATTGCGTCAAACACAGTGCGGTCAACGCGGCGTGGCGGCGGACATTAATATTATTAAACCACATTTTTGTTTGTTCTTTCATAATTTTTTCGTTCATTTCCTATGAATGGAAGGCCTTGTCAACACAGAGATAGGTTTACGGAACTTAACTGTCGCGCAAAGTTTTGTGAACTTTTTGCTGGTAGTTTTGACAGGGCTTTCGCAAAAATGTGTTCAACACAAGTAAATGCGTCCTCTGCACCCCTCCCCTTCCGGCACGTTCACTTCATGGTTTTTATTGATGTTTCAAAACGAATAAGAAGGGGACGGCAAAATACAGGCGGCCCATGGGCGACATGTAGAAAAATCCGGCCCTGTTTCAGCCTGAAATACCTTAAAATTATTGCATTCAACACATTTGGAAAATTTGAGAAATTTTTTCTCTATTTGAACGCATTTTGAAAGTTCAAACTTTCTCTTTTCTCGCCTTTGTTTCTTTTCTATCTCTTCTTTTCTTCATTCTCTTCCTCCTTTTCTTGATTTCGGGGGGGGGGGGGGGTGGAGCTTGAGCCCCCAAGCCCCCACCCCCCCTCCCGGCTACGAGCCTGTTGGTATTACTTTATAACTCAGCCTGATGGAGAAGCAGGGCAAAATGAAAAAATTTGGAGGCCTCAAGGAACATCACAGTGCTGATAAGAATTATTTGAAAGTTGATCGACCTGATGATAATTCCTGACCAGGAACAGACTGACACCAAAAAAATGCCCAGGAATGCCGGCTATCAGAGCTCCGATTGGCCCATTTTAGTTGTAATTCAGACATGCGAGGGAGGCAAACCAGTTACAAACTTAAATATCTTATTGTCGGCCTCCTATGGTGTAGTGGTTGCAGCACTAGCTCTATGATAGGGAGGTCCTGAGTTCGATTTCCGGCCAGGCAACCTGAGTTTGATGGTCTCAAACAATGGTTGCCTGGGACTGATTATTGAGGATGGAGGGGGGACAGGGGGGAATCTTGTATTACGATTCCACCTATTAATACTGGAACTATGGTCCATGTTAGGGTGATTCGTCAAGCTCTCTGATTGAGGTCCAACTGGCATGCAATGTCTCGCATCAATTAGGTCAAGAATATTGGCAGATTTTGAATTTTTAGCCAAAATAAGGACGATAGCCCCTGGCCCCCTGTGCATGAGCTTAAAGAATCAAAACCAAAAAATTGGCAAAAATTAGAGAAATGAACACAGAATTTTGTTTGGAAAAAACCTCACATTTAATACAGCTATCTACTTATTTCTGTATTAAATGCGATGTATTCTCCCAAACAATATTCTGCTTTCATTCCTCTGAATTTGTTGTCTAATATTTTGGTTAGGAATGATTTGTTAGGCTCATGCCCAGAGGCTATCCCCCTTTTCTTGGCTAGAAATTCCAAATCTGCCAAGATTTTGGACATAATCGATGCAATATATTGCACCGCCATGATTAATCACATTAATGGAATACCAATTGTTTTGCCTCGAGACGTACCATCTATGCTGTTACTTTGGTTACTGAGTCATCTCAAATAATACATTTTGCAGGATAGGTATCTACCATGGGCTTGCGAAAGGGGGTTCCGGGTGGCCTGGCTCACCCTAGAATAGAAAATAATATCATCTGCCCCCCTCAGAAATTTTGAATGGGCGGAAAAGACCTTCGTCAGGGATGATTCTTATCTCACTTGATGTAGAGCCTTAAATGAAAACACAGTGTTTATCCACTTAGTATTTCCTCAAATTTTCTGAGTTAAGTAAAATTTAAAGAAATCTCTGTATCTCTTCTATACAACAATTCGAAAGTATTCTTTGCTGAAAATAACAAAATAAACATATTTGTTCTGCAGAAATTAATAGCAAATCGGCCCAGACCCCCCTCTGTTATTCCATATCCCCCAGTGGTACGGAGGCCAGGCCCCCCCAGCAAAATGACCTGGGTACACCTGTGGTACTTGATGCAATAGTAAGTAACCTGTGCGAATCTATTATAACAGGTACGTACTGAGCTCCCGGGACTAGATGAACAGACAAGTTGAACTAGGTATCGACTCATGAAGGTTTCAAAATTTCCTCAATACCACCCAAAATATGCAGTGGTGGAACCCTTAACTGTAGAGCCACATGCAAATCAGTGATCAGAAAGTTGAGAAAAAAACTGTTGGTACTTATTACTTCATCTAAAAAAATAAGATATGAGGACGTTTACCTGTAGGCGAGACACCACTATACTGATGTGGATGACAGGTGGTCCAACCACAAGATCACACGAAATTGCGAAGAATTCACTATTTGATATTCACTGAACACTAATATCAGAATTCAGAAAGCGGAACTTGCGGCGGTAGCAATGCTAGAATGGAAATTGATGATGATGATTAATACAGCTCGTCCACTGTTCACTAATGAACTTGCTCATGTAAAACTGATAAGCTGTGTAGTGGAGGGGAAGATACGGACACCGTTAGGTCAGGGACGAGTTCTATAGGACGCCGTTCTGTTGTGAGCGGGTGATTGCAGCGCATTCTCGCGTAGGATCCTAGTCAACTCAGAGGATCCTTCCCCCCGAACCTCGACTCATCCATCGCCCGCTCCAAAAGTGAGGTTAAGCCGGAGATTGAAAAATAACACATAAGGCGGCTGAATTCTTGAAAAATAAGTATATTTTTGGCGTTTTTCGACCCCTTTTGACCACGAAGGGCTTGCCGCGTGTAAAAATACAGTGAAAAATTCGATTTTTTGCAGTTATACGCGATCTTACGGATTTTAATGAAGTCCAACAACTGATAACAGCAGTGAGTTGCGAGGATCCTACGCGAGAATGCAGCACTAGTACCTGCTCACGAATTTTTACATTGACTCTTACGGGAGTCCAGGGTCCTATAGAACTGGTCCCTGGTTAGGTAGGCCATTGAGGAGGAATAAAAAACAATATCAAGGTTTAAAACAAGAGCCCCTGATTGTATTGTAGTACACTGTTACTAGGCCGCATGTTAAAATTGAATGAAAATTGATGATAGTATTTTTCAAATCATTGCTGTGACAAAGTACAGTGCTGCCTTTGCGGTCAACTATATAACTACCAGCAGCTGGTGTTTGATCCTTTTCACGCTAGAGAGCGCGCTCGACTTATATTTTGTGTAAATGTGCGTATGCGTGCATGTGTGTTAGTAAATTGTTATTGTTTTGTTGACTTCTTATCACTTCAAATCCCAACGGTTTTTATAGTTTTTTTCTTAGGATCTCTAAAATTTAAGGAATTACTTTTTTAATTTACTTAAAGAGACTGCTCTTACTCTTGATGTTAAAACTAATTTATTAGTTTGTGTGGAAGAATTCTCCTAGAATAATTTATTTTCACAGTGAGTAATTTTAACTTATTGACTATAAATCTTAAAATCTTGACATGTTGCTTCAACAGTAGAAACTTATCTAGGAACATGTTTTTTGTTTCTAAATATCCCGAGTTCTCCCTGGATTCCAAAACTTTTTTTTCAGTAGCTGAATAATTTACTTACCTGACTTTAATTCAATGTTTAGGTACAAGCTGCAAGAGAAAACCTCACCGCAGGTCATTAGCAAAGCTCAGAGTGGACAGAGTTTCAAAATCACCCAAAGGGACACCCATCCCAGCACAGTTTTCCTTCCAATCATCTGGCGAGTTGCGCATACTTACTGAAAGTAAATTTTTAATAACTGTTGGCAACAAATGAACATTTGTTTTAAGTCCATCCTGCCAAAGCTGACCATGTTGGTGACAGAAACTTAGTGCCATATTGATGCCAACATGTTACCAATGCGGCACCATGTTGAGATCTAGGTGTTACCATGAAGGAGCTCACACAGTAACACACTGCTTTCATTGTCGTCTGTTTGCCCAAGTTGATATAAATTTGCTAATTCCTATTTAAACAACATAATAACACAAACATAATTTTAACATGTTAATAACATGGTTGCAGCTTTTGACAGGGCATTTTTGCACTCATCAAAATCGGAATACTCCTCAGCCGTAACAGTTCTCCTGCTCCAATGACAGTCTTTAAGTCCTGAGTATCATACTTTTTGTTTTAAGCTTGTGTTTGTGTTAAATTACAGATGGGATTCAAGTATTTTTTCCAATCGCCACCAGACTCATCAGATGATATTTTTGAGAATCGTTTCAATGAATTCTACCATGATGTATGTCTCACAGCAAACAGTCTGGAACGGAGAATGGTTGAATGTGAAAGCGGTGTCGACACAAGTTCCAAGCTAGGTAAATATATATCTCTGTTACCCTGACTTACCTTTGTAATTATGTTAAGAAAATGGTGATTTTTTCAGATTATTCAATGTTCATAGGCGGTACATTTTTCCTCAAAGAAAGGTCCTATGCAATTTGCAGGATATTTTCCTTACAGATGTCTGCTTATGGAAAATTATACATGAATTATTTTGAAGGAAATGTTAGACTGAGCTGCTAGAGCATGGACTTGTGCTTATTGAGATATTACATTTATTTTTAGAAGTTACTCTTCAGTTTCCTTAAGTCTAAGTAAGTAGTGCGATCAAAATCAGCTGTCTTGCCCTATGTTGCCGCCCAGCCTGATTTTAAAAATTCTTCCATGCAAATGGAACATTTCTCCCAGGAAGTTTAAATTTTTCCAGACTTGGCATAAAACTTGAGAAGGCATATGGTACACTTATGATTCACAAACCCTCAAATGCTTATTTCTTTTCATTGAAATTTGCAAATTACGTTTGAGCTTTTCAACTCTCAGAATTGACTCCTGTAATGATGGTTTTCTTTCGAACATTTTCCCTTAGAGGAACCAAAATCAGAATTGCACAATCTTTTTCATTGCTGAAATGCCTGACAACTAATTAATTCGCAAGAAATGATTTTGTTTTTAAAGTGAATGAAAAGGAATTCACATTATTCCTCTATCGGAAACCATGATTTACACGAGAAAGAGGGTGAGCGAAAGAAAAAGGAGAACAAGAGTGTTAAGGAACGAAAAATTAAGGTGTGCCTTAAATACAAGAATCTAATAAAAAATAATGCCATTGGTGCTTGACAATTTTAGTAGCAGCAAGTTTAAAATAACACTTACTCTATACCACGGATTATCTGAAATAATGTGGCGGCCGGCCGGTTTGGATAATGCAGAGGTCACTACGACAAGCTCAATCTGACACTCCGAATTTGTAAATAATTAATGACGGAGGCACACCTACTTCTTATTCATTCTATGGTTCAAAAGTCAGCAGGTGTGCAAGCAGGGAAATACTACTACTTGTTAGGAAACCAACCTAGTGGGGAATAGAAAGGAGTCATAACTGTGGGTTTGTTCTGCCTGCCGAGATCAAATATAAAAAACAGGTAAAAAAAAAAAAAAAAATCAATTTCCTCCAAAATCTGTTTGAGTGAACCAGAGTTTGGAAAATCTGAGGTTAATACAAGTGTATCCATTTTTACCAAATTTTGTGCGTATATTTCACTAAAAAACTATTGCTAATGCAGTTGCAATTAAGCCTCCAAGATTCTTCTAATGCAACTAGGTAGAAACTGTGTTTCTCCCAATTTTTCTCCAATATTTTAATTATAATAACATTTTTTCCAGTTAATTTACAAGATTTGCAGCAATCCATTAAGAAACTTAAGTGCGAAATCGCAAATCATTCCTCTAATGAAGAAGAACTCAATGTCCGGACAAAAGAGCATAAGTTAGCAGTTCTGCGTAAAGAGTTCGAAGATGAAACAAACAGATCAGCTCTTTTAAAAAAGAAATGTGGGATCCTTTTGGACTCGTGTTGTTCCATAGAATCTGGTAATATTTTATTTCAAACTCTTAGAATCCTAGAATGTAAATATACATTTCAAGTTTATTTGGACCATCTACATTGAGCATTAAGAAAACACTGTATTTGGCTCATCTATCCAGTGTAATTGTATTAGAATTGAGACACTGGTTTCCTCTGAAAAGCAATCCACCAAATAAAATCTTTAAAACATCATTGAAGTTTTTATTAAACTTCGTTTGAGTCATAAAGTTTTGTGTCATTTTTGATACCTACTGAATTTTTCCTTGATCAGAAAAAGTGTACTTTTTTGGATATTTTTTCTTTTTCTCTCATAAACTAATTTGTCATAGTCATTTTTTGCACTTTCATTTAAGTGCCTTTGTTCTATAGGATTTCACAAATGGCGTAAGTTTTTTAGGCATATCTGAAACAATTGGTAACTTAGAACTAAGTTGCATTTTGTAGAGTTCTTGCATATGCAGAGTTTTCCTACAGAACAGCACAAATGAAAAGATAAGTTCGTTGAAACTGTCTTAGAAGTTTTAAAAATTGTTCGATCACATTCAAACTGTGCAAACTTTTGCTATTTAGTAATCGAAGATCCAGAAAATTTTTTCACTTAAAAAAATCTTTGCACGAACGTATATCCCCCATTTTAAGAGACAATCTCACACAGAATGACAATTTAATGTGTTATGTGTTGCATTCTTTTGTACCTTTATGCTTATGCACTGATTGATGTTTTATTTTGCATTTTGTTGCAGAAAGAGCTTCATTAGCTTACAAGACTCGTCAAAAACACAATGCATTCCTGAACGTAATTAAGTATTACTCCACTTTGCTCAATTGTAGAATTGTACCTCACTCTGACAACGTTTACCAATTTCACTTTCTGAACTCAAATGTCGCCATCCGCCTGAGAAAGAAAGAAGATCATATGGAAGGTATATTATAATCTTATTGTAAAATCTAAGGTTAATTATGTATGGGTCAATTGGGCTTATCCCGAAATGTCGTTTCGATGATATCAAATTGGACATTCATTATCACAAAATAATAAGATCTGTCAAACGCCTAGTTTCTTTCTATGTCCAACACTAACTGAGGTATCGCCCTTCAAGAAAACTGAGCACTTACATAGGTACCATGGTTTTTCCCTCCTTGGATTCATGAAGTAGTGATTCACAAATTTACACTGGGTGCTGTACTTAAAATACAGATGAAACTAAGGTGGAAGAAACCGTGATATGGATCACTAGGGTAGACGTTGTTATACGCTAGGTTTTTGAACGGCGATATTTCTGTTATCATTGGCTGTAGGAACTTGATGGTTGGATACCTACATCTTTTTGATTTCTGTTGATCTATTAAGTTAAATCATCAAAATAAAAGTCCATGGCGAAGGCAACTGTCCCATTCTGATCGGTAGGTGAGCAAAAGTACGAAGCTTGCTGACAAGTGAGATTAGAAATTACATGATTTCTAATTGAAGTTGTGTAATAAAGAAAATCTGCTCTTTCCAGGGCTAACATGCAATGCGAAAAAAACTAATATAGCACTTGTTTGTTTGAGAGCTAACACAGCTTTGAGCTGTGTAATAACTTTTTCCTCAAACAATAAATGTCATGACTTTTTCACTAAAATCCTCTCTCTGAGGGTCATCCAAAACTTCAGTTCAAATACAATTGTTAATGAAAGTTCACAGCGCATGCTGATTTTTCTTTTCAAAACTTCAACTTCGTTTTTCGGATTTAAGTGTTCTTTTTTTTCATTTCAGTGGTAGGATTTCAGCCAAAACTAAATATCGAAAATGACATATGCCAGCACGTCAAGGAAACCAAGGATTTTCAAGGGCTCGCATCTCTTTTTCACTCTATCTCCCAGTGACTCTTTATAATTTTCATTTGTTTTTGACCAAATAACAATGAATAATAGTATGTATATAATTTTATGGTAAATTTTTAAATTTTTCAAATTTTATTTAGTCGGATTCAGCCAGTAATTAACAATTTTTGACAATGTATCAATTATTTTACCTGAGTTTCAAATGACAGTAATGTGTACTAATTTCGTTGATCACTCCGGTCAAGTACCTTCTTCAATGGTTCATATCAATATGTACTTTGTTCGGTTTGATGTACATGTTCAGGCCATTGAAAATCTATTAGCCATATTTTTCAGGGTGTCCAGCACCAGGATTTTCTCGACTCTATCAGGATATTCTTGATTCTATCAGGATTTAATCCAGATTTCATCAGGATTTGAGGAAAAATTGGATGTAAAATCAGGATTTGAGAAAAGTCGGCTGTCTGACCGAATTTTTTGTGGAGCTATTTTTGTGAAATTGCATTCCCTTAATTTTTCTCTGCAAAAAATCAGGATTTGATCAGGATTTAGCAGTCAAAAATCAGGATCTCATCGGTATCTCCCAAAATGAAAAAAAAAAACTAGACACCCTGTTTTTACATCTATTTAGTTCAAAAGAAGAAGGAAAAAAAAACGTTTGAAACTTTTGGATCCTGATTTTTTTCATCATTCTCTTTAATCACAAGAGCTTCTCGCTCTCTCAAAGAAGAAGAGAAAAATGCAGATACCTACTTTTCCTTAAACAATACCATTTGCAATTCTGCAGAAATATCTTAATACTTAATTAGTTTAATTGTGTTGTCTTCAGTGAAATAATTGAAGTATAAAATTACCACAATTTAGACATATTAGGAATTCTTCAGCTTGATAGCCATGTTTATATCTTGTTGAACTCATTTTTTCTTAATTGTATAATTAATTTGATTAAAGAATAGATGACTTTTCACTCCTTTGCTAGTTATCCATTCCATTCAATCATCCCACCATTAATTACCAAAGCGAAAAAAATAGATAAATTAATCTAAAAATTCATCAAAATTGGAACCATAACATGATGCAAGAATGTTTTAAAGGCAAAGTGACGTTTCAAAAAGTAGATGCCACGTTGTTCTCTTCAGGAAGAATATCATAAGCTCTAAAATGTCAACTGTATTATTAGAGACAGTAAAAACCGCACTGCAATTCTGGAAATTTTATTTCAGCTTGAGTTTCGGTGAATTTTTATGTGTGATACATTTAATACTTGTAACTTGACAATGGTTTCAGAGAAAGTAATTCTACTTAAAGAATGGGTATTTGTCACACTGCGTTCTGAAAGGATGCTGAGAGTATAGGGATGGGTAAACATGTATTATAGGGATGTCGATACTCAGGGAAGTATCGATACTCGGTATCGATACTGGTATCGACTCTAAGCATCGATACCGGTATCGAGCATCGAGCTAAAGTATCGATACTTATGAGGTATCGATACCGTCGATACTATTTCTGAATTATGCCGTGATTCTGAGTGTGCGTATGTCTGTCGGCCGTTAAATTCCGCCAGATTTACGCCTCTCTCGAAAAAGCCCTGTTCGCGTCCTTGATCAACTATTTTGAGCCCTTAACTACAGTTATCGAACTGAGCTTTTAACATTTACATTGAAGTATAATCATCTTGAGAAACTTGATTACTCCGTCGTTTGTCACAGTGCATCATGAAGGTGAAATAGTGGGGAGAGAATTTTTTAAAAAAGAAAAAAAAAGGCCTTCTTCATGGCCAAATCAGATTAAGTATCGATACCGTCGATACTGGGGTCTTGGCATCGATACTGCATGGTATCGATATCGTGGAGTATCGATGCCGGGTATCGTTAAGTATCGATCGAAAGTATCGATACTTTGCAAGTATCGGATAAGTATCGACATCCCTAATGTATTATGCTTGTTTTTGGCGGTTGTGACTCTTGCATTTACTCCAAATCCTTTAAGTTGAACATAATGTAAAAAGTAAAAGAAGCCATCAAAATCTTTTTCACTGTTGCCAAACTTGGTGCTTGGGATATTTTTTCCCAAGGAAAAATAGGGAAACTTATTTTCCAACCAACCGTTGTATTTTACTAAGCAATAAGCAAACCCCTCTAGGTGACATAAAGTTGCAGTAGGCACCTCCTATTTGTACTTAAAATCAAAGCCATACTAGTCTTGAAATTAGACTCAAGAATGAATACAGTTATATACCTCATGGGGACGTAAGGAGGACGTCTCTTGTCTCCACAGTGTGGCCCTGAAGGCTTTAGTTATGTCAATTTTTCAAAAAAAAAAGTATCTAAGTAAGTGCTTCAACTACTCACCTGAGGCAAGTGCCTCTATTTCTCTCAGTGTACCTACCCATTATCAATGGTTTTGCAGATTTCATGAAGAATGTAAAGAAAATTGAGTAGGTAGGTAACATATAAAGCTGTTGTACTTTTTCCCAGACCAAAGAATAGCACAATTCACACACAAATATTCAATTTGGTCAATCTGAAGTCTATGGAATCATAGATTATAAAATCATAACCTTGAGACTTGTAAAAATCTGAGGTTTATTCCTTGTTGATTTCTCTCTGGATTTGGTATTGGCAAAATGAGGCATAACTATTTAATAGCTTTCATCCGATTTAAATTTTTTTGATATCTGTAGATGTACCAACGCATGTAGAAGAGATCAGTCATGTAAGTACATATATCTTTTAGGTTTCTTCTATTATTTTAAACCAAAATATTAACCTGCTGGAATGAGGTAGACTCCATTTGCACTTATTGGACCTATTTCTGGCAGCGTCTATCTATATGCAAATGACCCTCTAGCACTGTATACGACCCTTTTACTAAGATATTTTGTATGGAAAGTAAAATTTTGATTACAGGTGGATGTGTTTGAAGGTGTCCCCTCTCATCAGAGGGGCTCACTAGTTTAGGCACACATGGAACCGAATATCCTGACTGCACCTATTCCTTGCAGGCTTTGACTTGTTTACATTTCATACCAATGTATTAATTCAATTATTCATTAAATTTAAAACCATTGCAGTTTGGTGTTCTTGTTTCATTTTTAACATTTGCAAGTACTTTTTCAGACTGCAAAATTGTCTCAATGGCTTTGAGTTTTTTTTTTTTTTTTTTGCATTTAACGTATTTAGATCCACGAGTAATTTTTTACTTGCTATGCTAGAAAACAGATCTATTTTCAATTTTATAACTTTAATGATACTCTCTAACTGAGTTATAACTTAATATATATTTTTTTAGTAAATGTATGCTTTTTTTGGTTTCCTAAAAAGAGAAGAAGGTAGCATTCCCCTATAGGCATTCCCCTCCTTCAAGCTTATACTTACCTGCATCATGAATAGAGAAAAATATGCAGATCCCTGTTCATAATCGTCAAAAGAAAGAGATTATTCACATTCTGCATTCACAAAATTTAGGAATAAAATCCTCTTGCAGTATCATAGCGTCAAAATGTATTTACACGTAAATAGATGCTGCCGGAAATAGGTGCAGTGTCTGCCGGAAATTGGTGCAGTGTCTGCCGGAAATAGCTGGTGCAGTGTCTACCGGAAACGGGAACAGTCATAGTCAAGCCTGCCGAAAATAGGCACATCGTGACTTTGCTCACGTCACGTTTCAACATCCATCTACTGCACTTTTTCTTCAAAGAGGTCGCATCTCTATATCACTGAATAGCTGAAAAAATTTTCACCGACTGCTGAAAATTTCAAGGTCCTATTATGTCTGTTAGGATCATTATTGTTATATCTTGATTTTTCGACTGTCAGTTGATGAGCACTGTTTGAGTGTTTGGTCTTTGTTCCTGCAACATTTAACCGATGGAAATGATGCAGATGTATCCGTCGACAGTACAAATCAAGAGTTAAACAGAGCTTTTTTTTTGGTTTACGCTCTCTAATGTTTCTTGTTTCATTGTAGTCTGCAAATGAGCCAAAAAACAGTGAAATCAGTAAAAGTGTCGAAAATATTTTTGACATCTACAGAGTCCCTAAGAAAATCTAGACATAATCATTTAAATTCCTTTTTCCCACAGCTTTCTTAGTTTTTCTTAATCGACATGGAACATAAAGGAACCATCTCAATGAAAAATTCAATATTTTAGTAGCTTGTGAAGTCTTCATGCAAACTTTCCATTTGAACCATGATCGTTAGTTCGAATTTAGCGCCATCGATTTTGGCGGTATTATTTAGACCAATCAGCTCACAGCTCACCAGTTTTCCATCATGGCGGCCGTGCCTAAAATTTTCCTTTCAAGTTCGAACGGTGAAATGATGTGAAAAGTCGGGAAAGTTCCATCTTGCCGGCGCAAGCGTGTTCTCTCAGTTTTCGGATTCGTGCTCTGAACGTCTCGGAAGTCTGGTCTATCATCATATGGATGAAATTCGAAGAATTAGGTCCCCGAAAGTGGATGCAGCCTTCACCATCGACATTGCAAGATACTTCGCGTGATAATTCTGATCGCATGCTTGGACATCGGTTTGGCTCATAGGTTCCACAGGATTCAGAATGTCCCACGGGTGTTTTGCAGAAGGATTCAAACGAACATGTCTCTGCGAAAAGTTGTGATATTAGGATTTACACTCATTCCAGGTAATAATCCGCATCATTACTTATTCTTTTTCCTACAACTAGTCCCAACGCCGTAATTTTGACTCGCACGTTCGTCCACCACGTGTTGAGCAGTGATACACGAATCCATGATTTTTGGTCGTGAAGTGAACTCGCGACAGCATTTTCTCTCGCTCATCGCTGATTCTGACAGGTGCAATTGGTAGGTTACCACAGTTATGACAGGAGAAGTTGCCTATTTTCATCGCAATTTAAAAGTCTTCAATGAACGTTCTACACGGCAGCGAATGCTGTACTCCTGGCTCATCAGATTCAGTGCAGTGCAGGGCGCTGCATCTTCCGACAACTGATTAGGCAGTGGATGAACCCAAGGGTATTCAACAGACTGTTTCTTATTAAAGTTCTTGTAATTTGACCAATGAGGAGATCAGAATCAACTGGGAGGAGCATCTATGATGAAGAATTGTCGGCCTATCAAAACGGAAGCAAGTTGTGTCATTGCGAGCTCAGTCCTTTGGGTAGACAGCTTGAATTTGTTGTAAATCTGCCCACATTCTCTAGTGTGATCTTACGCTGGAAGAGTGGGTATCCCAAGTGCAGATTTTATGTTCTTAACAGCGGTGGAGTCGGATACCGAAATTTCACTTTCCGCATGACTGTAACATCATGATTCTCTTTCTCTCGTAGAGCCGACTGATTTTCTTGTATGAGAATAACCTTTAATCCCTTGTTAAGTTGTTCTAAGCACTCAACACCCAGTAATTTTGAACACATCATGTGCTATAATAGACAAACAGGGACTGACAATTTGTGCCAATTTGGGGCCGAGACTTGTTTTACCCTGACACTGAAGCTTTATTCAACTTTTTTACTAAGTTTGTCCTGTTTCCAAGAGTGCAAATTGTTCCAGACCTCCGTATTTTTCTGCAATGTGCAAGGCTCATGCGAAACGGTCAGCAGAACGTGCTGATTTAATTAGAAAGTTGGCGTTTTCAAATTGAATCCTGGCTCCTACTTCATGTATTTTAGACAAAAACTGTAAAAACTGACTAAATCATAAATTTTAAACTTGTTTTTCACCAAGCTCTTCAAACTGTCCCTAAATTACTAATCTCATGGGTATCAAATCTTGTTGCTTTTCCAGGGAGCAGAATGGTTGAAGAAACAGGAGGGTGTATAGATATTAATGGTCGTGTCATATCACCTGGTTTGCATTATGTTCCTGGAGTTGATACTTATACACTTTGTATTTGTGATGATTCCGTGCCAAAATCGTGCAAAGCCATATTATGCACGCCGCCACAGGTAAGCACCTATCAGAAATCGTAGTTAACTACTGGTCTACAATTGGTCTAAAAAAAGGTCTATAACTACTGGTCTACTTCCTTTTGCTATGTATATGCTTTTTTTTTATATAATCCATTTTTATGGATTATTTAGAAAACATGAGTTGTATTTACTTGATTGAGGTCAGATTAAAACCCTATTATTGAGTACCTAACAGTAGGACATTATACCCAGTTAGCAAGATCGAGCTCCATCGCCGATTCTAGCGGTGGACGGTGCCAAAGCGGAATCGCTTATCCACATAGAGGAGCGGCAGTGTAGCTAGAGATATTCACCCGTTTGAATGTGGATACCCCTCGTCGGACTCGGAGTCCAGGCGCCGCTACTCGCGGCATCCGGAGCGGCTTTGTAGCACTGACGCAAGCGGCCCACGCGCGGCGTCACGCAGCGCGTTCCTAGCGGCAGTTCTGACTGATAATGGAATTTATTCGGGGTTTTTATTTCTTCTACAAAACATCGGAACTTCAGGAAATAGATCTATATCTCAAGAGAATATAATTAAATTTTGAGGCTAAAAAGCTCAAAAATAAAATGTCAAAAATACCTCTGAAAAAATTTCACAATCCATGAAATTTTTTCTTGTAGGTATATTTTTCACTTTATTCCTCAGTTTTTTAGCTTCAAAATTTCAGAAATCAGGCACTCTAGAGATGTAGATGTACTTCCTGTGGATCCGATTTTTTTAAAAGTAACCCCAAAAGAAAACTTAATTTTTTTAAAAGAAAACTTATAGTAAAGACCTATACTTATAATGTACTTATATCAAAGTGTTTTCGATAGGTACACAAAACACCAAGTCAAAGTTATTAACCAAAGTTATTTTCCATATTACCTCGAAAATCTATTTTTCTAGGAGACAAATTGCCTCTTGGATGAATTCGATTTGTCGCTAATAAAACTTTTTATATCGAAATACTAATTAAATGTGATGGCAGGAACGTTAACAGAAATTCTCATAATTCTTTCCCCTATGGCTAACTAGATTTATTCTCAACAATGTAACAAAGGAGAAAATTTAAAGTCAAGAAAAAAAGAAGAAAAGAAAAAAACTCAGATGTATACCAACAAAGATATTTTATTACCATTATATCATTCCAAATAGACTCGTTTCTAAATTTAAGATGTACATTGATGATGTACAAGATGATCTTTTCTCTAGGGCAAACTAGAGATTTAAGAGAAAATTTTATTACCTAGTTCAGTTTTTTCATTAATTAAAAAAGTTTATTTATGGAACACATTGCACAAGTAATAAGCATAATTTGTATGAAAAAAAGAAATTCTGGAGACTAGCCATATCTGAAAACATTGGTTTTGGTAACATATTATTCTTCTACAACCCTGTTGATAAGAGTCTCCTCTCGGAATCGGCACTATTAAGTAGATGTAAGAATTATTATCGATAAAATTGGAAAGCGGACGAAAGAACAGTATTAATGACTTTAGCCGTATTTGATGGAGCCTCAACATACGTCCAGAATAGGATGCTGCAAATACTTGCTATCAAATCTCATCGAAGCTGACAATGAATCTTCACCACTTTCTCAAGGAAAATATAACTTTTGCCACTTTATCATCAGATGTCGTTCCAAGGATATATCCTTCATTCCTCACAAAGACATTGAAAGACATTCAACTCCATATATTGTTGAAAATCCTGACATCGAAGGATGCATGTCATTGAAAATCCTAAAACATGTCGTTAGGAATTCTAGGATGATGAATGACATTAAACGGCGCATGTCATTGGTCATCCTACGATTATGGATGACACATGTCATTCGTCATCCTAGGATAATCAATGACACTGAAAGACACATGTAGCTGGTAGCACAAAGGGAGCATGTTTGCCATAGAGAACCCTACAAAGATGAATGAAGTTTGATGTAGAAAATGTATACCAAGGTATTGATTGATGCGCCACATCTAGTCCGAATAACGCTTACTCCAGTAACTCTTCATTAGTCACCGGTGTAAAGTATCGTGAGATTTTGACTGCGAGACCCTCAGTTTTGGGGGGATGGAGGTACACAATGTCTTTAATTTAAGCTTAATAAGTTATAATGATAAATCATGACATTCAGATCCACTTAAATGATGCCGACAAATACAGCTAGATCACTAAAAAGTATGACAGAAAATATTCAAGGCTTTGAACTACATAAAATCAAAATTTTCAGGTAATATACAGCACAAATATGTAACTAAGACTTGAGAGGGCATCAAACTTGCTGAGATGATGTTTCATGATGAGCATCAAAAGAAACTGCTTTCTACAGTTTATCAAAGTCCTTCTGTGTTGAAAGAGTATGCGTTAAGAAATTATATAAAAAAAGACTCACCAAATATAAAGTTCTTCTTTAAAACTTAAATTCCGAAGAGTTTGGTTTTACCTACTGATTCAGATATTTAGGCATTTCCAACACTGAACTTAAGTACACTTTTCTTCTTCGTTTGAAAACATTAATATCTGGACAAATCAAACTTTGAAAGTTACTGTTTATGATTATTTAAGTTGCCTACACTAAATCTTCCTTGATATCAATGTTGTTTGAAGCACTAAATGATGAATTTTGAGGTGATTTGATTTTGCTGCTAACTCTCTACCAATGATTGCTCAGATACAGGATGGGCAATCAGATCATAGAATATTAGCCGCTTGGAAATTCCAGAATACTTGGAAATAAATCTGAGTGCAGATGCTCGTCTGGAGTGAGGCCACTGAAAAATAGATGAAGAAAATGACATTACACATTAGCTTCACACCTAATAAACCCAACTTATGTTTAGTTCTTATACATTTACTCTGTTAAACGAATCAGCGATTGTTATCATTTAAATATTGAATACTTCAGAACCAACGCATAAAAGTTCTGTGAAAATCACAATTTCATTTCCGTTGACTTCTGAGAGACTCCGCAACCCCTTGAGGTATGTTATTGTGAACAAATACTCCACACCTCACAAGGACCACCCAGCGGATGAAACCAAAATCAATTACTCATTGAGTTCAGCTTATCTCATCCGAGATAGGTTACAATGGACAAGGACAATTCCAACCCTGAGCACAGATGAAAGTACCTAGCGGAGAAGAAGTGAGATGCAGTCTGAAACTCATTGATTAAGTATATACGTCGACAACTCATAAGCAAGCTCACTGCTCGAGTGCTTACACGAGTCTACAAGTTATAAGCCAGTGGTACCTTGCATTAGCCAAGTAAGATTCGAATAGACTACAATCACGAGAATTTTGGCTTATTAAGCTGAATTGTGTTCTTGCCGCATTAGTAGTTCAACGTCTGGAGGACAACTGAGGATCAACTGTCCTGCACTTTCGCAAGGAAATATGTTGAATTCAAATAAACAGAGCCTGGTACAAAGTGGTAGGGAGGTTAGCTCTGAAAAGGTTAACTAACTTTCGTCCCTCAGCGAAATAACTAACTAAGAGATAAATACTTCGGCTTTGTTTCTTGCACGAGCGGCAGAATTGAACACCGGTAAAGAAAATGAAAACGCAATAAAAACATGGGGAAAATACTTACTTTAACAAGTGGACTTTACAATCAATTCCATGAGCGCTCACGACTTAAGGTGTATCTACAGCTGCGTGAAGTAAGAAATTTCTCCGCGCAGGGGGCGCCACCGCTGTGTTTTAGAGTCCGTACAGCACCACGTGAGTCCTTGAGCTTTTATAAAAGTTGAAGGAATTTCTGTTTAAATCGAAGATAAATAAGTTCTAGCTATAACATTCTTCTTCCTATTGACCCTAAAAACAACGTGAAAAGTTATTTCTGAAGCTCTGCAATTTGATCCCAGAAAAAAGTAGGGTTAAGCATGATGACCTTGATGCAACCAATCGCGCTTGATCGCTCTCAGCAGTTGGCAGATATCTCTCTCCCACCGTGAGCTGTCTCTCTCGCACTTACAGATATCCCGTAAGAGAAACTGGGATCAATTTACAGCTTTTATTATTAGACTTTCAAAGCTCGCGTTTGTTTCTAAGGATTCCAGACGTATGCTGCTAGAACTTATGAGTCTTAGAATTTAAGATACCTATTGTGATATTTAAATAATCACTGATTTCGGAGTCGGATTTTAGCAGCGCGACGTGGTGGATTTTTTCGGAACTACAGCTGAAGATTAACCTTAAATCACAACTGAATCCTGAATCACAACTAACAACAACTTGCCTGTTGAAGGACGCGCGGCGCGCGCATCCAGACTCCTGCATTTCTCCGCAACTCCAAACGCACTACACACGCGGCTAGATGCGCTCGCCTGGACTCGTTCCCAACTCATTTTCGTTCAACCGCTAGAGACGGTGGATGAACACCGTGAGAAGCGCGCTTATCAACTCAGTCTCCAATCTGCCGCTAGAGACTGTGGACGGAGACTGTTAGGAGCGCGCTTAGCAATGCCATCTTCAATCTACTGCTACATTTTGTGGATAACGCGAGTATTGGAGCGAGCTCCTGTACGGGCTAATGGATCCAAATGACGGAGCTCAATCTTGCTAACTGGGTAGTTAGCATTTGCTTTAGATGTTAGGAAACTTTCAAGAAAAGTGTGTTGAACAGAGTACTCGTTTCAAGGGATTCTGTAAAGTATCCTGAAATATATCATGAACATAAGTAATTAATTTAATGATAGTTGACATTAGTTAACTTTTTGGGGACAGTATCAGGTGCTGGTCACTGACAACTGAAGATCAGATTGTAGAGTGATCATTCTTTTGGTACACAAGTTATGATCTTTAAGCTGCCCAAAATGTCTTAGAAGCATATGTTCTGGTTTTAGTTTAAACTATCTTGTGCCATCTGATTGCAGTCATGAAAATGCGACAGATCGTATTTTAACCGGTGCCTGGCAGTATGCCCATTCTATAGTTTGAAAATTCAGGGATTAAGAGTAGAATGGACCAAAAATCTGGGGAAAAATTGCAATTGCAGGAAAGTTGAATTTTTTTGCGCTGCGCACAAAGTAGTTTTGGCTTGTCTTTTAGCTGGATTTGGAAATCTTGAAATTATTATTATTTATCATCCTATATTGTCTTAAAAGTTAGTCATTTTTCTCATAATTCATCAGAGAGTACTTAGGAAAGTCATGAGATTCCAGGTCTGTCCACCATGATTTATGTCTGTCAGAAAGACTTTCTGTCGCCATACCGTTTCATACTGTCAATTTTGTTGTATTTTATGGGTTCATTTTTGGGCTCTATTTGATCACATACCCACCGTCTCTACCATCCAACTGAAAGATAAGATGCGAACAAAAAAAAAAGGGGGGAGACAGAAATAGTACTTATGGTTGATTGTGGGTCAGGATGATTTCTTTTGACGATATTCTACTATTTTCTTTACTAGATCTCAAAATTAGGAAGCTTTAATGTAAATTAGTCGTTTGATTTCTAATTGAAAATTGTTTTCTTTATCCAGGACTGTAAATCTTTTAGAATTGAAAAATCTTGTTGCAATTTTGAATGCCTCGATGACGAATCACATGATGGAGACATTGGCTTGAGATTGATAGCCTGTGCAATAACTGTAATATTATCCTTATCAGTATTAGTTCTACTTGTACACAAATTAAGGCAGCGAAAAACACAAGGTAAGCCTCCCAACTTCATCAAATCACTCCTCTCACTAATATATGAAAGAGCTTAGGTACCAAGATTACAAAATTTCAAGATAGGAAAACTTTGGAGTTGCCGACACTATCCATCAAACTGATTTCAACATGGGCTGCATGGGCTCCTGCTGAAAACCTCCATTGAACTTAAGGTTATTTATTTACTATCTCCTTGACTTTTCATGTATTTTCCGTCAAAAATTCTCACATGCTCCATGAATTTCCCGTTCAAGCACTCATTTAAACCGTATTGTCAAGAAATATGGCTTTCGAAAGTATCCTGCTTGTCACAGTGCCCTTTCTACCAACCTAAAAAAATGCAATTATTTAAAATTACTGAACAGGCTCATTTGGTTTTTTATTTTGATACACCTACCAGGATTGCCGGCGGTCTGGGAAACTGGGAAAGTTAGGGAAGTTGCAAATACCGGAAAAGATCAGGGAAAGTCGGGGAATTCTTACAAGAAGTCAACAAATTTAGTGTCAGCTTCTTAGTAGAAGTGATTGTAATTGAAAGGAAAAAATCAAAATTAAAGTCTTATTCAAATGTCAGGGGAAAAGGAAATCCAATAAATTTGGCAACAAGAAGAAGCAATAATAGTCAGCAAAAAGTCATGGAATTTAAAGTTGAAGAAATCATAGCAACCCTGCTTACTTTCGTTCTCTCCCAGAACATGTTCAGTAGTCCTGAAAGTATCAGAGACAAGTTCTAGTCATTATTTTTAGATGTTAGTAATTAAATGCTCTTTAATTTTCTAGGTGTGTTCATCAATGAAAGAACTAGACAACTAAGGCCTGAAAATAGAGCAATCGACTTTATTACGAATGGATATGAAGAGGTACCTGTATCTCACTGTCAGTTGTGGAAACCACATGCGATATACTACCCTCATCATGGAGAAGCGCCACCCCCTTACGAGGAGGCTGTTGCTGCCGCTGAAATGGGTAGGCATTGCAATTTCTTCATTTCTCGATCCATTTATTTATCATCTGCGGCTAGTGAATTCAAAACAAACTGAAGTACATTTTGTTTACCAATAGTAAAAGACTTATAGTTTTAAGTTATCGATAGAGAATTTGCAGGTGTCAGAAATTTGATGAATTTCGTGCTTGAGTGGAAACTACTGAGTGAACTAAACACAAGGATACCCTTGGTTCATGAATTAACAATTATTGGAGAAGATATGACAAAATGATATAATCTGCTAAAACACAAGTGTTTAAATGAGAAATACTCCCAGATGACGTTGCTAGGCGGTGCATTTTCTCAATTTTAATTCTATTTTTATACTATTTCCCATATCAGAAAAAAATTATAAAACATACTGTGAAATCAGCTCTTAAAGCACTTTCAGATGAACCAATCAAAAATTTGCATGCAAATTCTCCATTCAGCTAACTTTTTGTTTGCCATTCTCAGTTGAAACTCATCAAGGTGGTGTACGCCCTTCTCAAATAAAAGATTAGGGCAGATAAGCACATGTAGCAGCAAATGTACATATTTTACTCCTTTCGGTTTGTATTTGTTCTACTATACAGAATATGTCAGGCTGAATGCAGTGTTAAATCCATTGGAAGCTGATCTTTCAAACTGAGAAACATCATGATGATTTTAAAGGAATTAGAATATTTTGAGTGAACCATTGGAATCTTCATATCCGTAGTCAAACATAAGACCATTCAATTTTCCAATTGTTGAATGTAGATGTTGTGTTCGAGAGTCAAGGATTTTGAAAATCTTAAAGTCGGGATAAAGCAGAAAAGGGTATGGGAAGCAAGAGAACCGAAACCGGCAGAAATTATGGAAACTTTGGGAAAAATCTATTCTTTGCAGATAAAAACTCTAGGTGCAGGTCTACCTACAGGTCTAGAGAGAGGCGGATGGACCTCTTGCCCTTGAGTTAAGAGCAGCATTTCTGGTTAAAGAGTTTCATCATTCTGTTCCTGTTGCTATAATCATAGTTTATTTTAATTATCTAATGCAATTATTCTTTCTTTTTTTCACTTTTCCTTTTTCTTTGATTGCTTCTTAGTTTTTATTTAATTTGAACCTCTAGTTATTCTTATTCTTATTTTCATTTTGGTTTCATTTGCCTTTTGCTTCTACTTTCTTTTTTCAAGGTTTTATTTTACTTAGAATGCTCTCGGATTTTTTTTCCATGGACGTAGTCATTGACTGTTCTAAGGCAAATTTCAACAGAATGGGAAGCTAATGAAGTGGCAGGTACTATACTGTTCGTCTTAATCTTTCTCCCATCTATTTGTAATTTCCAGATAGCGTTAACAGGAAGAAGAATTTTCCTCGAAAACTGCTATTCAATAGAATTTGATCCAACTTGATTGTTTAACTTGCCTTTTAATCCTGACCGAAGCTTTGCCAACAGCCTAAAATTTCATGTGCATTTTTCGATAAATTTGTCTTCACTAAAAATTAACACAAGTAAGGGCATTCATTTCCCAAACTAATCGTAAATCGGCCCTTTTTCAACCTTTATCAAGTCAAAATAAATTAAGCCTCTGCTATTAAAAGGTGCGTTTAATTTCTGAGCTCATAAATACCCTGCCTTGAGCGCCAATAATCTTGGGAGTACACAGTCCCATTTTTTACATGTTCCCTGAAGTTTTTTTTATTTACTTATTTATTTATTTATTCAACTCAATTTGTGTGAGACACAGTTAGAGGCAAGAAACATTTTTCTTGAGAAGGAGGACTAACAATTAAGGAAGTTGTTTTCGATTTTTTTTTAAGTTACCACTTTTCTTAGAAAAACTGCTGTCAATGAAATTGGCAAAAATCGATTAAATTATAATGTCTAAACCTTGATAGTAGTAACATGTAAACATGTAAGTAGTCCATGTGGATGCCTCTGAGTTACGCTTCACAGAAACACCAGAGTCATTGTAACTATTTTAAATTTGTATGTCAAGATATTCTGGTTAGGCTAGGGATCAGTATCCTACAACCCCTTCTCAAAGGACCCCAAGTAGAAAGGCACCCTGTCCCTCCCTAAAAGTAAAAAATTTCAAGTTGAGACACCCTCTTGTGTCACTTTGCTATAAACAGAGTAGAAAAGAAATTTTATGGTACTAATTTCTCTCAGTTACCTGTTTCCAATGGCAGCTGACAAGGGTTTTGGGAAGGTGTCTGTTGATAGAAGGTTTAAAAAAAAACAAACTTCAACAGAAGAAGTAAAGCCTATGCCTCTTATCACTTATTATAAACAGAAGACCTCATATTTTAAGCCAAGGAATGCAATCGTCTTTTTAAAAGGAGAAGAAATCATTTGATCATTGTAGTTATGCCCAGGAATTATTTATTTTATTTTTTCTTCCAAAAAATACTATGAATTTTGCATTAATGTTTAGCTGAAAATTTGCAATTTACTTAGAGGAGACAAGTTCTATGAAAAAACAGGAATCTTGAAAAACAATATAATACACCTGTACGCCTTGTTGCAGGAAACAATGGAAACATTCTAAAAGCACTGTGCTTTGTCCAAAAAGATTTTGATTCTCCATTTTCACACTGACAAAATTTAGTTGATTGTTACAGTTTTCCATCCTTTTATATGTTGAAAAATGAAGTTGTGTGAAATTTTTAATCTTCTAAACACAGCAGTGTGAATATTGCTACCTTTTGCGGACCATGACTAAATTTCAAGAGCCCATGAAAGTTAGGTCTTGGGAGTCATTTATTATGTTCGAAAAATACTGCTTAATTTCCGCAGATATTTTTAGAATTTTTTTTATAATAAAAATCGACATAGTTCCAGAGTGCATCCTCCTATCTGTTTCCATCTATTTGTCCCATCTATTTCCTTGTTTTGGGTTTTATCAACATCATTCTCTTTGTCTGTTTCCAGAATCTAGTCTTGGTCTAGCTTTTAGCCACCGAACTATTCCGTTGAGTTTGACAGCCAATGTACAGCATCTACAACCAACATCTGAGCTCCACACTATCTCCACGTCAGTTACTCCGGAACAACCATCAAGACTGTTAACATACACATCCTATATAGGATTGCCTCAGCGATTCCTAACGGTCACTCCACTGGCCACAACTGCGGAGCCAGCACCTATCAAGTCAATGTTCATAAAACCTCTAGGACACAATGTCCACAAGTTAGAAGACAAACTCAGTCCAAACAAAGAAACAGAGGTACGAATTAATGTCACTGACATTGGCGGCTCAGGCAGAAACTCTAACTTGGCCACCTCTAATACCTCAATTCTAGGTAAATCTTCGCTTTTCTTCTTTTTCATTTAGTAAATACCTACTTGAGAAGGGCTACGCTCAGAAAGTGGAAGTTAAGGGGGAAGAAATTCACCCTCTGAACCTCTTTTCCCTCCTCTTTCACTTATAGTCCTAACTCATACTGAAGGTGGCAACAGTCATGAATAAACTGCAAAACCTAGAAAGAGGTTGTTCCAAAAACGCCGATTTTGGCCCCCCCCTGGATTCGCCCCAAACTTTGCTCAGATGTTGTACTATGTGTCCCCGACGCTTGGGAAAAATTTCAGCCCCCTCGGATAATTAGGGGGGAAGGGGCAGGGGGGCAAAGTTGCAATTTTTTTAAAACTTTAAAAATCGATATCTCGCGAACGGTTTGAGTGTAAGTGTTGCGGTTTGCGCTAAAAAACGTTAAAATATATTCTCTACAAGAATATTCATGCTGTTTGCAAGGTTGCGTAATTTATCGCGGTCATAAATCGATTTTTTCGATTTTGAAGGTTCGACTTTTTTTCGTTTTTCGTCTCCCCTCTCCAGGCGATCGTTGCTACGTGAATGAAAACCGGTTGAGGTGATTCTCCATGAAATTCTGCATCTGCTACAATTTGTTTGACCTTGGGGAAACGATTCGTTCGTGAGTTATAGCGATTTTTCTGCGCGTTACCGGTTACGCGCGGGCGGCATATCGGCGGCGCTCCATCCCGCACGGGCGAGGCAGAGGTTGTTTCACCGCTAGGGCCTTATATTCATGCTGTAGGCTGTAATTATCGATATTTTCTCCTCCCCCACCCTTCCCCTCCAATAAATATTGTTTTAATACTTCGTTATACAGGGTGTCCCAGACCATCCGTAACAGGTCTTTTTCTCGGTTGGTTTAGGTAGTACGAAGTGGGGGACCGCGGGGTTATATAGGGAATTGACCCCAAGGAATCCGAATTTCACGGTCCCGAAACCCCCCATGCCCCCCCTTTGGGAGGTAGGTGCCCCCCCTTGGGGTCATGATCCCAAAAGTCGGGAGACATTGTGCCTCCCCCTTTTACGCCCCGAGGGTGGCTAGGGGGGCCTCGGGACCGTAAAAATCGGATTCCTTGGGGTCGATTACCTGGGAAATCATCTTTTTCCGGAGAATCTACGTCAATTTTCCACCAAAGAGAAATTATGGAGGAGGCCGATGTCCCCGTTTTGAAGAGATCATTTTTGGGCGCAAATTGACGTAGACCCTCGGGAAAAAGATGATTTCCCAGGTAATCGACCCCAAGGAATCCGATTTTTACGGTCCCGAGGCCCCCCTAGCCACCCTCGGGGCGTAAAAGGGGGAGGCACAATGTCTCCCGACTTTTGGGATCATGACCCCAAGGGGGGGCACCTACCTCCCAAAGGGGGGGCATGGGGGGTTTCGGGACCGTGAAATTCGGATTCCTTGGGGTCAATTCCCTATATAACCCCGCGGTCCCCCACTTCGTACTACCTAAACCAACCGAGAAAAAGACCTGTTACGGATGGTCTGGGACACCCTGTATAACGAAGTATTAAAACAATATTTATTGGAGGGGAAGGGTGGGGGAGGAGAAAATATCGATAATTACAGCCTACAGCATGAATATAAGGCCCTAGCGGTGAAACAACCTCTGCCTCGCCCGTGCGGGATGGAGCGCCGCCGATATGCCGCCCGCGCGTAACCGGTAACGCGCAGAAAAATCGCTATAACTCACGAACGAATCGTTTCCCCAAGGTCAAACAAAGTGTAGCAGATGCAGAATTTCATGGAGAATCACCTCAACCGGTTTTCATTCACGTAGCAACGATCGCCTGGAGAGGGGAGACGAAAAACGAAAAAAAGTCGAACCTTCAAAATCGAAAAAATCGATTTATGACCGCGATAAATTACGCAACCTTGCAAACAGCATAAATATTCTTGTAGAGAATATATTTTAACGTTTTTTAGCGCAAACCGCAACACTTACACTCAAACCGTTCGCGAGATATCGATTTTTAAAGTTTTAAAAAAATTGCAACTTTGCCCCCCTGCCCCTTCCCCCCTAATTATCCGAGGGGGCTGAAATTTTTCCCAAGCGTCGGGGACACATAGTACAACATCTGAGCAAAGTTTGGGGCGAATCCAGGGGGGGGCCAAAATCGGCGTTTTTGGAACAACCTCTTTAGGGAAAAGTCATGGAGTTTTGTCCAAAGTAGAAAGAATTACACCAAAGTTGGTATATTCTCTTCATGCAGTAATGAAACGATACTTGATGGTGCTAGATAACTGTGGATTTTTTTTTCCCAAGTCCCAAAAACTCAAGGAATTTTGATGTTGGAGTTCAATTGCCACTCGGACTCTATTTTTAACAGATAACATTGTATAAATGGTGTTAAATGTACAGTATGTACCAGTGTTAGAAAAATATGTGTTGTAGTCTGGCAAAAGGACTGCTCCTTCAGGACTTATTAGAATCTAGTCCCGGTCAAATCTGGCCATACTTTAGCAACATCCTCTTTTTAACTTCCTTAAAAAAAGTCTCAATGGGCACAACCCCAGAAGAACTCGGATATTGGAGTTTAAGAGAACTGAGACTCAGGGGTCTTGAGGATATCAGAGAGTTGAACATTAAAAATTAAAAATCAATAAATATGACTTCTTACTGGTTTTTTCCGCAATAATAAGCACTTTGAACAGATTGCTGTTAGACAAACAATTGTTGGGACAGAAAGCTAGTTACTTGGCCAGTATAAAACTGAAATTCTCATTGTGTTTGCAATTTCCTTTAATCCATGAGTGTAATATTCGAAATGTAAAGCTAATTTTTCTCCTTAATGATTTCAGGTAACAAGACTGGGAACAGATGCAAGTCTCCTAATCCAGATGCTATAAGACCCCCATCTATGTTCTGCTCCTTAATAACACCGATTATGGAAGAGCATGAAGAAACATCTACAGAACTAATTGATCCAACCATTTTAATTGAAGATGGTGAAGACTACAGGACAGAGTGCGAAAATTGCAATCCTACTTTGGCTATCAGTCAAGAGGAATACATATCTGAACCAGAGACGATGACTTTACAGAGGCCGAAGCCTAGTGATGATGATCTCAACAATTATTTTAAGGCTTCCCTCACAATGCCAACTAACTATCACAAAATGAGGTAAGTAACTTGTTCAGTTATGCTTTTCAAAAGAAGAGTGTTTTAAAGTTTACTCATGGTTTGTGTAAGGTTTTTAAGTTTAATTCTTTAGTATCTAGTGGCCGGAGGAAATGGGCCTTGAATTTTTCGAAAATTGCAGTTGAAAAAGAAAGAAGAAGGAAAGAGTGCCTGAATTCCATTTTATGGAAAGCTGAGGATACAGAAATTTATTGATAATTTCTTCAGCTGCAACCACATTACCTACCGAAAGATTTCTATAATTTTCATCAACCTTGAAGTTGTCTTGCACTATTCACTAACTCTGCTCAAACTAACATTTTATTTGGCATAACTCTATCATCCTCCAAGGTTTACGGCAGTTAGGAAACCCTCAGGGAATTGATGGGAAAAGTCAGGGAATATTCTAAGTAGCGTATAACAGAAACAAGTGTATTTACAAAGAGAAAAATCTTAAGTGGAAGTCATAATCCAATGACACAGTTGTTTTCAAAAGGGGACAAATACATTTTTGCATGAGCCCTGGTTTGCATCGAAGGACATGCTAACTAAGTCTCATCAAGAAATGGACCTGTCCCTTTTGAAAACAACTAATCCAAATGTCAGGGAATCCGAAAATTTTGAGTTGGTGAAGAGCATAAATAGTTCAGGGAATTCGAAAATTTTGAGTTAGTGAAGAGCATTAATAGTTCAGGAAATTCGAAAATTTAGAGCTGGGGAAGAGCATAAATAGCTAAGGGAATCAGAGAAGAGATTCTGGAAACCCTGTCCTTTGATAGTTCTAGGTTTGAAATACTCGTAGGTCTCAACTCAACACCATGTGGTTTTATTCTTGACTGATAGAACTAATCTCATGAGTGATCTGCCATTGTTTTTGTTGGAAGTTGATACTTTTAACTCATTAATCAGTTTATTTTCCACTGCAATCAACATTAATTTTACTGTTGGATAACCTTTCTCAAGCACCTCCATGGTCTAAAGAGGTGGCATATTTTTATCTTTTCATAATGGGGTCTTTGGATTCACTGCAAGTTTTTTCTGCGAATTTTCCTTGTAACATTCTATGTGATTGTATCAGCCCTGTCCAGCCTGAAATTAACAGAATTTTCAACAAAAAAAATGTGTGAAGCAAGGTAACAATTTTTTTGTTGTAACCTTGCAAAATTCCCATGATATGAATCATGAATACATAATATAGAATATATTAATTTTATTTCTCCAGGCCTATCATGAATCATAACCACGTCACAACTGTGAGGGATAGTTGGTTCAACGATCAAGAATCTACTGACGAGTCTTCTGAAGAGTAGTCTTCGTTTCTCTGCTCTTATAAATATTACGTTCAGGATCAAATTCATTGTTAAATTGAAACTAATGGCCCCACGGATGGACTGTTGAAGTAAATTTGAATGACCTCTTTTTCGTTTCTCGTAATCAATTTGGATCTTTTACTGCTGTAAGTTTCTTCCTCACAATTCCTAGTATTTAAATGATTTAAGTGTTCTTAAATTAGCTCTCAATCAGGTAAGAAATATTGAATACTGCCAATAGTCCAATTGGTGCTTGTCAGATTTTTAAATTTTTTTTTGTATGTTTTAATTTTTGTCTGAGCTTAAGAACTGATTTTAGCCTTCTCAATTAACTTTTTGCCAAGGAACCATGACATTTTCTGAACTCTGGCTGGGGAAAAGTTAAGGGTTTTTTTTTCTTGTTTGTTTTGAAATTCAAAATCGTTTAATTTTATTTTTTTTATTGAACATGTTTTTTTTTTTATTATTATTATTATTATTATTTATTTAAAAAAAACTGAGGGAGTTAATTGAGTTCAATGTGCATACAAACTTTCTGGAGAAGCAAAACACATAATTTTAATATGTTACCCAATAAACGATGTCTTTTAAGGACATCGTAATCCATTTTGGAGTAGCACACCCATGCCAGCAATTTTTAAAGAGCCAAATTTTTTTCTCTCAGGCCTCAGGTTTAAAACCATTTTTATTTTGGCACTCTCAGTAGGGAAATACAAGTGAGTTTCTATCAGTTTTTTGTGCTGAAATTTGTTTTTTTTTTTTCCTATTTTTTAATAATAAATTTGAACGCATGCCCCCATAAATTTTTTTTTTAGACTTTAGATATTACTACTGAGTCTCCCACCAAATACTGATTTTTAATGTTTCCTCAAGGCCGTCATGTCTCGACATATTGTTTGAGAGCATCAGCATTGTTAGTTCGTCCTCTAACAGTAACCGCAGCAGCCTCCTTATCAGCGAGTTCATCTCTATCTTAGCTCATCCTCATAATGAAAAAGTAAATGTGTATTGCTAAGTGATCCAATTTCAATTTTTATCGAAATGAACATACTTGTTGGATCAATTTAGATGATTTCAGGGTTCAGGATCTTTGGGAAAGTTCTTGAATATACTTGCTTTTTTTTCTTTCTTAATTTTCAAGTCTATGAATATTCTTGAATATAAAGGAATTGTCCTTTTGCTTTCAAAAGCTCTTGTATTCAGGGTGTCTACTGGTCTGTAAAGTCCAGATATAGTACTGATTTCTTAAAGACGGTCGGAAAGTACCAAAAATGTATGGAAATTCCTCAAGAAGGTCCGTATTCTTTTGCTTCATATCCTGCGAGTTTTATAAAGCAGCTTGGAAAGTATGCAATTCCTCACGCATTGATGTTTAGTGCAGCATTTCCCAGCTAGACAGTGATTGTGCAGCCAGGTGATTTTCAGGCCACCAATGAGCTTTGAGTTTCTTCGCTGTGTTATTATTGTCGCGATTCGCGAGTAAACTTTGAAATCTTTTGGATCTTATCATGAGAACGTACCTACTGAAAACATACTGAAATTTTTTGTTGGGGAGGTCTTGAATTTTTTGCGGAAGTTGTGAAAAAATGTTGATTTTTTTACCAGCCACTTTGAATTGACACCCTAGTATTATGTAGTGACCTTTTGTAACTTCATGAAACATGGTTCTTAATTCTTCTTCTCTGTTTGCGAAAAATAATCTCCAAAATGTTGAAAATTATCTGATAATCTTATAAGTTCTCACATGGACTTAGCTAAGTTCACCTCTTATGTAAGCACCACTGGTTCTGAGAAAATGATTTGTTTTTTAAACACTGGCGGAGTATGATTTTTGATCATTTCTCATTTACAACTTTACTTAATCGTTCTGAATAAAAGTTTTCTAAAGTTCTTCAAAATGTTACTTTTGATTTTGGAAAGCTGTCATGAACCGGGAATTCAAAGTAGAGTCAACTTTAAACAAAGCAATACTCTCAGAGGTATCAATCCGTACATTAATGTGCAATTGCAAAATCACCATGCTGTAATGCCATTTGGTGTCAGAATTCTTTTCAATCTCTTCTGCTCTTTCTGACCTTAAGAATTTATGCATCTTTTCTACGGCTGTAGCCGTAGGTATTTACGTAGCTATGGACCTTGCTAAATGCCTAAGGTGTATCAAGAAGTGAGTATCTTGCAGTTTGTTTTATCTCATATTTTAATTTCTACCATGTGTGTATTTTGATCAAATATGGCTTACTCTTTTTTATCTTCTTTCTTGTTCAATTTTTTTGTATTTCTCTGTATGCTTACCTCTTACAACATCCAGTTCATTTATGTCCTAACACTACCAGATTTGCGCTTTCTGTGTAGTACAAGTGAACAATATCATGCCTAATCAAACTCGGAAAGTTAGCCAAGCCAAGTTGTGTTTGTTTGCCAATTGTCCAGTCAAGAGGGCAATTTTTAGAGCCCTTGATGGAAATCTTAATGGTCTTGTCCAATGAATCATTGTCTAATTGAATTAAATTATTGATCTTGTTTACGCTCAGATTAATATTCATCCATATCCATTATAGTTATATTGAAACGGATTTCCAGTTTCTAAACACTAACCCATTTCAGCCTGAGGGGTTAATCTTAAACTAAGACTCAACGCAATTTGTCATTCTCTGAAAATGCCGGGTGCTGCAAGTAGGTGTTTTCTGTGTAGTATAATGTATTTTTTAAGCTGTCAAAAATCTGTATTTGCGTTGCACCTGCAATTATGATCTGTGCAGCTGTTATCAATGCAGGACTGCACGAATTGTAAATCTTGGCAGAGATTTTGTGCGGTGAAAAAGTATCACACTGGGACGAAAAGGTGTCAAAAAGGGACATTTGACAATATATTATTGCTGAATCTTCTCAAAACGTGGCATATAAGATCATTTTGGGACAAGGAATCCAATTTTATGTTCAATCTTTGGTTCATAGTAAAGATTCCGCAAAAGAAATATAGCTGCCAAGCCTCTCTTTGAATCCATTAGATAAATAGATCAGCATGATCATGGTGGAGATTTAATGCACACGTCATTCGGCTTTTTTCTTTGAAAGGAAATAATTAATCCTGAAATGGGATACTTCTTCATCAAGAGATCCCCCCCCCCCCACGCACACACGCACAACTTCCTCTTTTCTGTTGATAAAACCATAGCAATGTTTGACTAGGGGAATAAATTTGTATTTATTTATCTATTTGTACATGGAGCCTCTTCTTTGAAGGGCTAAAATACGCGTCAGTATAAATACATTTCAGCTATTTACATTTATACTTCAGTGCATGTATACATCACTCCAAATTTAAACACCAAAATTTGAACAGAATTCGTGAACCTATTAAAATTTTCTATACAGTTGTTCGTGATATCGTTAGAAATTTTAAATTCAATGAAATGTTTTCTCTTAAGAACTTACTGGAAAAACTCCTTCGTAGCATAATATGGGTTTCCTCTGGGACCTCTTTTAATGGGGTACCTCCTTTTCTTGTGTTCCCGAAACACTAGTTTCTTTACATCTGCCATTAGAATATTCCTCAAGTAAATTGTTGAAACCTATTGTGCTCTTAATACATTTCATTTTTACTGTGAATGTCCCATTTCTGTAATGGGCCTGTCCCAATGTGCGTACCTACTGCGGGACCTATATTTTCGGACGCCATCTTGGCTTTTTCGGCAATGCGTGTCTTTATAAGAGCTCAACTTCATTTCATAATATGCAAATCTGGATTTGTTCTTCATGTGCTAGTATTACACCAAAAATCTGTATAAATTTTTGCCTACTGAATGCATTTTCTTCTTTTCAAAAAAACAGTAACTAAAACTTACCAAGAGAGAGCCCATTCTGCTCGCGAGTTGAAACTTGGGCTAAGCCTTTCCAGGTGAAAGATAAGTTACCTTTTGGTACATTCGTGCTTCTCTGTGTAGATTCAGTGAAATTCTGTGACGCACTGGAGAGAAAAACACATTGGCTCTAGAGTCCAGACTCTTGAAAACATTGACAAGAAAAAATACTCTTGATTCAATCGGATTTTTGCTCGAATCAAAACAAAATCCGCTTAAATTAAGAGGCTTGGTTCTTGATTTAAGCTAGATTATGATTGAATCAAGAGTACTTTTTCTTGTCGATGTTTTTAAGAGTCCGGACTCTAGATCCAATGTGTTTTTTTTTTTTCCAGCGCGTAAAAATCAAATGAAACCATAAACTACGCACCAAATATACATACAAAATAACCAGTTCCCTATTTTTTTTAGGATAGCAAATTTCTCTCGATCATTGAACTATTTTTCCATCTGAAAATTAAAATCACAGCGCTCTCCCGAACAATCGTATCTAACAATTTTCAAACGTCCAAGTATGCAAGATACTATCTCAAAAAAATGAAGAGAAACAACGTTAAAGTACTGCGGCTTGATCCATGATATCAGTTTCGAAAATTCCAAACTTTCTCTCTAAGGTACAAATTAACAGAATTCCAAAAGATTCAGCTGTTTATCAAAAACGCGATGTCTTATTCACAAAGTCAAACTTCAAACGCTACACTCTCACAACAAAAGTTTCCGGCTTCTGCCATTACTGCAGCTACCGCCTGAATTCTGTCACCTAGAAAACAACTCACCGCCTCCTTAGCCTTGTTGCTCATCGCGTTGTTTGCAGCAGAGATTGATGATGAGCTTGCCTAAATTTCTCCGGTAAGTGTCAGAAGGCTAAAGATTACGTAAAATGTCTGAAAACGGCTGAGAAAAGTTCAGCATCGGCGATGAAGTGGACAAATTGTACTTGCATTCTGAAAAACTCTTCGATTTTGTTTTGTTTCATTGCTTTTTCGTATTGGATACTTGCGTGCACTGGGAAGTTTTTGGGGAAAGTAAATCTCCTCCTTCAACACCGGAATACAAAATCAACCGATTACTGCCCACATCCCGAGATTTTGGAAAATATAATGATAGATCGCACAGATTAGATGTGCTGACCGGTGAGTTGCAGTTGTCAATGTTCTCACAATTCGGCAAACCGTGAACTTTTTTTTAAGGTGACGGACGGTTCAAACTCGGCGGCACAGAACGCGGCGAGTTTTTCCTTGTGCTTGAATCCAAGGGCACAGCTTCGGATTCGTACGCGAAATTATGGCAACGCAATGTTTGGCTATAAAAAAATATTATGTGGAAGTCAGTCTCCGGTGCCACCGTAATGAGATTATTTGTGTAGCCTTGGCAGATACTCAAATATGAGAAGTTCGAATTTAAGGGCATTCTAACCGCTGTCGTCCTGAAAGCAACAATATATACCCATAAGTTGTTATTAAAATCACAGAATTATAATTTAAATTGAAAGCTGCATCCTCGATTTTGAGAGTTTGTGAACTAAAACATGTAATTAGAAACATTCGAACGAAAGGAGATTGCGTGTCTACACGCCAGGGTGTTCAGTGTTCACAACTCCGGAAATAGTACTGATTTTTTAAGCGGTCTGGAAGCACTGGAAAAGTGCGGATATCCCGTAAAAGGTCCGGAATGTTTTTCATTTTTATTGTAGTTTTTGTCGCAATTTGAAGGAGAAATTCAAATTTTGGAAATTTTTCGAATTTCGTCAATCGGAGGTACTGAAAAAGTACTGAACTTTTCTGTCGAGGAGGTACTGAATTTCTTGGGAATGTACTGAATTAAGAGAACTGATTTTTGGCAGCCTGTTTGAGTAGACACGCTGCACGTAAACGAATCACATGCTACCAGTAGATGATAAACATCGTAACTGATCATAATTAATCAGCGCATGCATGATTGAAACCTAGAAATCGGATACAAGGGTTGGTGGATTGGTTGAAGGCCACCAGCTTAGCGAGGAGGAATATCTTTGAAAGTTTTTAAATTGAAGGGGCGTAACTTAGAACGAGAGTTTCCACTAGTAACAGATTGGGAGCGCTCAGACGGAGGAGAGCGGTGCATAAACTCCGGATGACCATTTTCACCAAACGGGTGATTTAAAGTATCAAAATGATTTGGATGACCCACATCACCAAACTGGTGATTTAAAGTATCAAAACGATTAGGATGACCATTATCACCAAACTGGTGATTTAAAGTATCAAAGCGATTTGGATGACCAGAAGGTCTAACAAAATCATTTCGCTGAACCAATGGTGTCATCGGAAAAGAGTTCCGACCGCTATCAATGTTAGACACTTCAGCATGTACCATGGCTGGTATCTCTTGTCTGAAAGCATCTAGTTTGAGGGGTGGCCCATGGCCCAACTTCACCGTGAGGCCTGGAATGGGCGAGCGCCGTGTGTCCGCGGCAGCAGGACGATTCCGCGAGCCCTCCTAAAAATCGGTTTTCCGCGAATTTGACGGGCCTTTTGCTCGAAACTTGGTCTGAAAAGTAGGTAAAATTTTGTTCGGCAACACTGGAGAGGAACACACCTTTTTACATCTACCTCTTTAACATTTATCAAGAAGCCGGCCTGTAAAATGTTTTTAATTTTTTTAAACCGATCCAACACATTGTAACAAGATCATTTTCTTTGGTGTGCATAAGTTATTGTACACACTATTTGTAATGTACTGACCAATGAAGAAGAAAAAAATTAATATGAAAACTATTAAATATATGAATGGTTCCACCGGTTTCAATTAGCTTTGGAAATCGGAGCCGTTTTACTGGCTTTCGCGTTTTGGATCGATGCCTTAACATTTCCCGGGCGACCACCGCCCCCCACTGTTGCTTCATAAAACTAATAGTTGCCATCTCGTCATTGTTGCCTGAAAAAATGAATATTTCACGTTAGGACACGAAAAAAGAAAAGAAAGAAGATGAAGAATTGGTGTGAACAATCGTCTACTGGCATCCAGTCGTAGCGATAAATTTCACCATCGATTCTTACGTAACATTTCGCGGTAAAGTTTCCATCCTTCCACCCATTGGTGGTTCTGCGTGGATTCATATGATGGGTTCACGTGAACTCACAAGCCATGCGGGATTGAGGGTGACGCCAAAAGTGCTAAAATCCAACATTGCATTTTTAGCTTTGTACCTGATTAACAAATGCCACTATAAATAATAGAAAACTCAAAATAACAGAAAACTCAAAATAACAGAAAGTGTTCATGAACTACGCAAAATAATCTGATGGATAATACTTTAGGATATGTACGATTAAAAGACTAATGGCAAACGCCTGTCCTATTCGAAGCACCGAAAAACTTCTTCAGAAGTGAAGATGAACTCTTGCCACTTCAGCGAGTCAAATCGTGGAAGAAGGTCCTCGGTTGTCACTCTCCTCCACTCGATGGGACTGACGCGACGTCCCAGTCAAATTCGTTTTTGAAGAAATGATAGATGCCCATCATTGCTTCATCTCCATGGATGTATTTATGTGCAAATGACGGCAGGCTCCGGTAACAAGGTTCTGTGACGAAATCATTTTTGTCTTAGAGTCTTCAAAAATGGCTCGGGAGAGGGAGCCGAACGTCACTCGCGTGGCAAAAGACCAGGGGTCCAGGGGGCGCAGCTCCTCATTGGCTAGCCGTGACGGACGTGCAGAGCGCGCCCAGAACGGCTAGTTTAGAAAAATAAAGTCATCTCACCTGTTGTAAGGTTGTCATATGTATATCTGCACCACATATCCGAACTGAGGCACCGCAGAGAAATGTGGCTTTACAGCCGGCATGCAGGTAAGTGAGCTCGGATGTGAAACCGCACATTTGGGATGTAAATAGCCTTCAGTAAAACCGTCCTTTCCCGATTTTATTATTTTATTTCACCCACTTAGAGTTATCAAAATCGTCGAAAAAATTCGGGGTGCAGATAGCCCTTCGTCGAAAATAAATGAAGAAAATTTTATTTGCTCGCTGCTTGTTGGTATCCCGTTTGTTAAACGTGTAACGTTTGTAAAACGGAGGCGGTGATCCCTCTGTTTTGGCGTTGCTTGGTACGTCTCCCACAGACTCTGTGTGAGAGCAAAATGGTCAGCGACGTTCTTCCGAGGAACATTTTCAATGCCGCGCTCTATTTTCTCCAGATCTTGCGGTTTCTTTTATTTTTTTTTCCAACAGTACACAATCACAACCGCACTTATAATTAGAATAAATAGTAACGAATTTTTCGTGGCAGGATCCATAATGAAAATGGATGCACAATAAATCAAATTCCGAACCAATTCATGCTACAAGAATGAGGTTAATTCGCGTGTTTTGAAAAGGCCGCCTAAATTCCACTTCTCCCGTGTAACCGTTCAACAAATTGCCATCAAAATAGAAACTCTGATGTCCGAAAAATGGCCGCCACTTTGAATCGAAATTTGATCGTGTATCCAGGCCTTATGGCCCTTATTTTCGTGAAACTCTGCTCGAACAACTGTTTCGATCATTTAATCGGGAATCCAATGGCCGAAGAATGTAACAACCCTTGCATTCGCATCAAGAAAAACATTTGGAGTGCGACACACAAAAATCCTGCCATAGGAATTCCTTACATAATACAACAAGACTGCCCGCACGGCCTTTTTCTCGTTTCGGAAAGATGCCATTTATGATTGAGTATAATTGTGAAAGGTCTGCCAGTAAGCAGACCGTATATAATGGGAAGTGTATCATAACCGTTTGTTCGCACGGCCTTTTTCTCGCTTCGGAAAGATGATACTGATGATTGAGTATTGTCAAAGGTCTGCCAGTAAGCAGACCGCATACAATGGGAAATGTAATGACCGTTTGTTCGCACGGCTTTTTTCTCGCTTCGGAAAGATGATACTGATGATTGAGTATTGTCAAAGGTCTGCCAGTAAGCAGACC